CTTCGTGACGATGACGCGCCACCAGTCCATGGCGGGTCCTCGCAGCAACGACACGGCGTATCGAATCTTCGCCGAGTCCTCCGAGACGTAGTTGGCGTCGAAGAAAACATTCATTGTGAATAACCACGCCTGAACGGTAGGACCACCCCGTTGACTCGGGTCAAAGCATGGCGGGCGCTGCGGTTTCAGCGGCATCGGTGACGGCAGTCCCGAATCGTGGGTTGGTGCCGAAATCGTGACGCGAGGCTGACTTGGGGCCGCAGGCGTCGCTCTGGGGTGTGTCGTGCCGTGGTCGTCGTCTCCGTCGGGGCGGACGACGCCATCACTGGCCGCGCTCGCGGGTTGCCCCACACTCCCGTGTTGTGATGTTGAGGGTGCAGGTTGAATCGGAGTGCCAGGTGCTTGGGATTGTGCTCTCATGAGGTCATTTTGCAGTGATGAGCGTTCTGCCGTCAATGCCGCGATTTCCTCGGAGCTTTCGTGCAGTTGTCGCAGCAGATCGTTCAAACGCTCCTGCGTGAGAGTGGTGACGTCGATGTTTTCGGCCATGACGAAGGGCGTCGGCTCGTCTTAGTCTAGGCGCAGTCGTGGCTGCACGCGTTTACGAGAGAACGCGAGGACAGCGGCTCCTAGGGGCTAAGGTGCGTGAGTCCCTTCGAGTGAAAAATCAAAAGTTGATTTCCTGGTGTGCGGAGATGCGCGGTCCGAAAGAAAGGGGCTCTGATACCAAGTGTTACGGGTGCAATGAATCGAGGTAGCGAGAATTGCACTAAGGTGTCAAACGAGTACAAAATGTGAGCGAAGGCATGAGCGAGCATTTATACGCGAAACATGCAAAACGGTAACGCGGTGCGTGCGAACTTGCTAGTGCTACGCTGGAGCGAGGCTCGGGCTAGTCCCGAAGCGTAGGCCGATACGGCCATGCCAGCAGTGCGAGGTTTGGCAAAACAGTGCGCGCGAAGTCGGCGAAGTTCCGTTAGCAGTAACGGGCGAACAGTCGGCTGTTGCTGTACGCGATGTAGTCGGCTCCGTAAGGAATGCCTGAGAAAATTCCTTACAGTGTCCAACGAAAGAAGAAACGAAATTGACTCATTGATAGATTACGGGGAAAGAACCACATCTAAAATAGAGTGACGAGTGCAAGAACGTCTCTAGCATGTGATTTTCCCAGCTAGCAACGTCATGTGAAAAGTACACTGAGGTGAGTGGCTGTTCAGGTGCTTGCAACAGAAATAGTTGAGCATACTCGTTTGTGCAATGTTGTCACTTCCCTCCGAATCTGGTCTAATGACAAAGTGAACACTTTGTATTGTACATGGCGAATTACGTAATTTCGCCCTGCTTGGGAATGCGAAATCCCCCCACTTCGCGCGGGGCCGATACCTAGCATGTGCAGGGCTCGCCTCAAGGTGGCGGTTTTCGTGTTCGATACCCTGAGGTTCAAAGGATGACTGCGCATGGGCGGTGCTGGCAAGGAATAGAGATTGAAATTTCTGAACGTGGAAGTTTGAACAATGCTGTTTTGATTTTTGCACCCAATGAAAAACTGTCACGTCAGGTATGCGCTATGTAACCCAGGTTTTCGAGCCCGCATTCTCGAAAATGATTTCCTCACCACATTGAGCTCAGATTCGACTCTTCGTTGCTTAGTGTCCTTGCGCCAAATCTGTGACGAGTGTCACACGTAGATCGGCGGTTGTTCGCCACTTCGTTGAGTGATCAACCCTGTCACGAATAGAACCACATGCGACATCCTTCGTCATACAGTTCCGCAAGGAATGTACTAAAAACCGCAATCCGAATAGATTTGAGACGTAACGAGGTTGATTTCGTCACACCGTAATGTTCCTCTCTTTTTCCTGGTATTCGGGAATTTCTGCACCTGGATTTCTCAGATGCACTTCGAGAGTAGTCACAAAGATCGGTACAGCACCTAGACACATCTAGGCATCCCGCCATACATACATACGCCTCTGAACCACCTAGGTGACTCTACGCTACACTACAGTCAAGAAAGTGAAGCCTGAAAAATCTCGTCTCGCGCACGTGAAGCGGATGACTGTATCCGCTGGTTGGAAACGTCGTCTATCCCTTGCTTTTTACCTCTCCTGACATCGTAGCCGTCTCTTGGAAACTCTCGACGTCATAGCCGTTGGTTGGAAAAAATCGACAGCGTAACAATGGCAGCATTGTTGGGTCTGGACGGCCTGTTTCTCGGCTTCGACAGCTCCACGCAGTGAGTAGGAAATAAGGCCATTGTTGGGTCTTGGAATGCCTTTCGAGTCGACTCGAAAGCCGTTGTTGGGTCTGGACGAATGTTTCTCGGCTTCGATAGCTCCACGCAGTGAGTTGACGAACATTCGCTTTCGTCAGTGCCACAAATCAGGGCATGTTTCGGGCAGAAACTATCCCAGGCAGGCTTGGCGCGCGCACCGAACTGAACCGCGTTGCCTGATTGGCGGCGCAGGGACACGCGCTACTGATTGAGGTACTGCATAATGAAGCTGACATTGATTTCCCGCACCCTCTAACCTGAATTGCTTACCCTCTCCATTTTTTTTCCCCGCTACCCTCCCATCCACACCCTTCCCCGCCCCCTTTCCTCCTCCGTCAACGGCGTTTCAGGTCACTCAAAGTCACATCTATCTATTCCTCTCTTCGCAACGTCGCTACGGAATCACTCCAATATGACACTGTCCCCACATAAGCTCACCCTTAAAACCTCCAACCTCCCTTCCCCCCTCCCTCTCTCCCCACTCCCCCCTTCCCAACCCCTCCTTCCTCCCCCTACGCTCACCCCCTTCCCCCTTTATAATCACACCGTTTTCAGGTCACTCAAGGCCACAGCAATTGATTCCTCTCTTCGAATCGTCGCTACCGAGTCACTCCAGTACGATACAACCCTCCCCCACTACCGAACTTCTGGAGGCGTCCACCGTGCCTCCGCCGAACCTGATTCCCGAGCCTCCTCGTCAGGCTCGGCGCTTAGGGTCACGGCACCACCAGCCATGTGGGTGGAGGCTTTTGATGTGATTCTAGCGAGGTTGAAGGAAGCGGACTTTCCATTTGATAAAGTCCGGGCAGTTTCCGGCAGCGGGCAGCAGCACGGGAGCATTTACTGGCGGAGAGGAGCCCGGGCACGCCTTAAAAGTCTCAAGTCTGACCAGACCCTTATCGCTCAGCTATGTGGGGATGAGAGAAACAGGAAAAGGGAGGGGCTCAGCTCGAATGATTCAGCACAGGGTGATTCGTTTCAAGACAATGCATCATTGCAGCAGAGTGTATTTTCGATTTTAGATTCCCCGATTTGGATGGACAGCAGCACAGCAGCCCAGTGCAGGGAAATCGAAGCAGCTCTTGGCGGACCTGCAGCTTTGGCTCGGCTGACGGGCTCCCGAGCCTACGAGCGGTTCACCGGACCTCAGGTTCGGCGAGTGTGGCAGCATCAGGCTCGGGAGTATGAGAGCACCGAAAGGATCTCTCTAGTGAGCTCGTTTGGCGCATCGCTATTGGTTGGAGATTACGCTCCCATCGATGCTGCTGACGGCGCTGGGATGAATCTGATGGATCTGCGGACGAGACAGTGGGCTGACGTGGCACTGGAGGTGAGCTGACGTGGCACAAGAGGTCAGTCAAAGTGCTGCAGTGATGTTCTTATGTTATCAAACCATACATTTGATCGTTCTGAGTAACGCTGCTAGTGGCACGCTGAAAATCCTCTAGATACCACTTTTGCGATAGCATTCTGTCAGTCAAGCATTCCTCATCACTAGGGTTGAGTACAGGGTCGGGCTGGGCCCGGTCCGGGTCGGGCCAGCCCGAAACTGCCCCGGGCCGAACCTCTAGGTTGGGCTGTCGGCTCGGGGCGGACCGGGCAATCCCGCCCCACCGGGCTGTCGTCTGCCTGCTTTTGGCCCGCCCGTTACAAGGCGGGCCGGGCCGGCCCGTTTGGGCCCTAGACTTGTTTGCTTCTCTAAAACTGGCCCAAAGAACAGTTTACCTATAACGAAAGTGCACCCGGGCAGGGCCAGGCCCGGCCCAGGTACGCCCTGGGCGAACTGGGTCAAGGTCTGGCTCATTTGGCCTGGGGCGAGCCCGGCTGAGTTTTGAGTCGACTCAAAACTCGACTCAGGTACCCCCTGGGCGAACTGGGTCAAGGTCTGGCTCATTTGGCCTGGGGCGAGCCCGGCTGGGTTTTGAGTCGACTCAAAACTCGACTCAGGTACCCCCTGGGCGAACTGGGTCAAGGTCTGGCTCATTTGGCCTGGGGCGAGCCCCGCTGGGTTTTGAGTCGACTCAAAACTCGACTCAGGTACCCCCTGGGCGAACTGGGTCAAGGTCTGGCTCATTTGGCCTGGGGCGAGCCCGGCTGGGTTTTGAGTCGACTCAAAACTCGACTCAGGTACCCCCTGGGCGAACTGGGTCAAGGTCTGGCTCATTTGGCCTGGGGCGAGCCCGGCTGGGTTTTGAGTCGACTCAAAACTCGACTCAGGTACCCCCTGGGCGAACTGGGTCAAGGTCTGGCTCATTTGGCCTGGGGCGAGCCCGGCTGGGTTTTGAGTCGACTCAAAACTCGACTCAGGTACCCCCTGGGCGAACTGGGTCAAGGTCTGGCTCATTTGGCCTGGGGCGAGCCCGGCTGGGTTTTGAGTCGACTCAAAACTCGACTCAGGTACCCCCTGGGCGAACTGGGTCAAGGTCTGGCTCATTTGGCCTGGGGCGAGCCCGGCTGGGTTTTGAGTTGACTCAAAACTCGACTCAGGTACCCCCTGGGGGAACTGGGTCAAGGTCTGGCTCATTTGGCCTGGGGCGAGCCCGGCTGGGTTTTGAGTCGACTCAAAACTCGACTCAGGTATCCCCTGGGCGAACTGGGTCAAGGTCTGGCTCATTTGGCCTGGGGCGAGCCCGGCTGGGCCCGGCCCGCCTTTTGGGGCAGCCCGCGGGTTGGGCCGGGCCTGGCCCGTGCTCAACCCTACTCATCACACCTTGTTATCTACCGCATGCTTCCATCGTGTCGCGTGAGATCCCGTCAGCATTTTTTATCCATACCTTGATCGCTTGTCCATTTCTTCACCCTTCCCGCCCCCCCCCCCCACTCACCTTCCCCCCTCCCCCCTCCCGAGCCTGACAGGCCACGGCGCCGAACCTTCGAGAGAGGCTCGGCAAGGTGGTTCCGTCCCACCAAGTGATTGGCAGCGTGCATCAGTACTACGTGGACAGGTGTGTGCATGTGCTGTGCTGTGCTGTGTGTGCGTGTGTGCATGCATGCATGCACGCGCTCTCTTTGAGGTTTCTCCCACCAAGTGGTTGGGAGTGTGCATCAGTAGTACTACGTGGACAGGTGCGTGCTGCATGTGTTGCGTTTGAGGCATCGGTTGTATTTTGAGAGGTGCATGCGTGCATGCATGTGCTGTGTCTGAGTCTCAAACTTTGAGCCGCCTTGCCTTCCACCTGAGGTGAATTTCCAAGCTGGCCAAGTTGAAGTGAATGCACGTAATGAATGGCCAAGTCGTGGCATGGACAGGCGACAACCATAGGGCTCAGTAGCCGGTAAACGCCTCCTGAGCCCCTTGTCCCCCCCCCCGCCCTTGCTTTCCTCCTTACTTTCCAGGTTTGGCTTCTTCCCAAGCTGCCAAGTCGTGGCGTGGTCAGGTCAGGGCATGAGCAGTGAGCTGCCTTCCCCCGCTCCCCATCCCCCATCTTTCTCTCTTCTCTGCAGGTTTGGCTTCTCCCCAAGCTGCCAAGTCGTGGCGTGGTCAGGAGACAACCCTTGGACCTCCGCTGCCCTGCATCCTCTTCATGTCGCTCCCCTCTTTCCACCCCTCGTTTCCCGCCTCCCCCCTCTTTCCTCCTTGTTTTCCAGGTTTGGCTTCTCCCCAAGCTTCCAAGTCGTGTCGTGGTCCGGGGATAACCCTTCAGGCTCAGTAGAAAGCCTCCTGTTCCCCCCCTCCCACTCCACGCCCTGCTTTCCTGCTCTCTGCAGGTTTGGCTTCTCCCCAAGCTGCCAAGTCGTGGCGTGGTCAGGGGATAACCCTTGCAGCCTTGCTGGTAAGATTCATGCCATGCACCCTGTTGACCATGTTGACCCTGTTGACCATGTTGACCCTGTTGACCCTGTTGACCCTGTTGACCCTGTTGACCCTGTTGACTATGTTGACCATGTTGACCCTGTTGACCCTGTTGACTATGTTGACCATGTTGACCATGTTGACGACCCTGTTGTTGACCCTGTTGACCATGTTGACCCTGTTGTTGACCATGTTGACCCTGTTGACTATGTTGACCATGTCGACCCTGTTGACCCTGTTGACCATGTTGACCCTGTTGACTATGTTGACCATGTTGACCCTGTTGACCCTGTTGACTATGTTGACCATGTTGGCTGGTCGCCAGCTTGCCAGTTTTTTTCTGGTGTTCTTTGAAAGAAAAGGTACTTTTAAAACCTAAAGCTGGACCGGACCATCGCCTGCCACCTGCCATGCCTGCGTCGCAGGTTTGGCGCTGGGAGGTTCGGGCGATGTGGGCATCAGCCTGGGGACGAGCGACACTGTGAGTGACTTTGGATGGTTTTGCAGAAGGACATCCTCCCATCCATCCATCCATCCATCTTTTTGTTGAGGCGCCTCAAAACGCCTCAAAACGCCTCAAACAAAAAGACTGCTTCGAAGCGTCTCAGTAGGTCAGTAGGTGTGATTGTGAGTCAGTGCGTTTGCATTTGTGTATCGATCGTTTTAGCTTCTAATTGAGCTTTTCTGTATCAAGAGGCTTGATACAGGTGAGATTCTTGATAGCCAAGTTTAGCTTGCACTTGTTGCAGGGTATGTATCGTATGGTATGGTCTCGTATGGTATCGTATTGTTTCCTATGGTATGGTCTCGTATGGTACGATTGACGATTTGTTTAAACTGGCTCTCTAAGATAACGCTCTAAGCTCACAGTTAACCGGGTTTTTCCTTTCATTCCATGGGGTTCGTCTCGTCGATTCAATAACCACAAGAGTTGATGGCAGTAAGACCTCCGCAGCCCACCTGTCTGCTACTGACACCACCGTACTGGGTTTTTTTGGACTAGTGCATGCAAACATCTCCATCATCTCCACCTTGTCCCAGTCAGGTGTTTTCTCAGTCAGGTGTTTTCTCAGTCGGGTGTTTTCTCGGTCGGGTGTTTCTCAGTCGGGTGTTTTCTCAGTCGGGTGTTTTCTCAGTCGGGTGTTTTCTCAGTCAGGTGTTTTCTCAGTCAGGTGTTTTCTCAGTCAGGTGTGTTCTTTGGTGGTGATGGACCCTCAGCCTGGGCTGGAGGGTCATGTCTTTGCCATACCATCCCACCCCACCCCTTCCCACCCCTTCCCACCCCTTCCCACCCCTTCCCACCCCTTCCCACCTCTTCCCATCCCATCCCAACCAGGTGTTTGCAGTCGTGATGGATCCTCAACCTGGTCTGGAGGGCCACGTGTTTCCCAACCCAGTGGATCCATCCTCGTTTATGGCCATGATCTGTTATACGAACGGGTCGCTCACTCGGCAAGGTACCGGCGTTCTCACAGTGTAGCACTAAAAGCTTGCATATGCAGCTGATCATCTGTTCTGGGCGGTCGAGGCTCCTGCTGGTGCGACTTTATACGTTCATATGCGGCTGATTATCCGCGTGACCTTGTGTGTGACTTGATCGAAGTATGTGTTAATCCCATCATTCCATCCTCTCACGCTCCCATCATCCGTTCCTCCCACCATCCCACCACCACCAGCCATCAGGGACCGCTGTGCAGGAGGGTCGTGGGAGACATTCTGCCACCTGCTGAATGAAGCCCCGCCGTTGACTGGTGTGTGCCGGTGCTGCATACATGGTCTAGCTGGTGTGGCTACCTGGGAGAGCATGGTGTGAGAATGGAGGATTGGCTGTGCAGGAGGATCGTGGGAGACATTCTGCCACCTGCTGAATGACGCCCCGCCGTTGAATGGTGTGTGCCGGTGCTGCATACATGGTCTAGCTGGTGTGTGCTGTGAACTGTGTGCATGCATGCCTCCATGCCGGCCCGAGGTGACTGTTCAGTCGACTCGAAAGTCAACTGTGTGCATGCAGGCCTCCATGCCGGCCCACTGTCTTCCCTACCTCCCGACTTTCTCACCTCCCCACCTCCCCACCTCACCTCCTCACTTGCCTTCTGACCTGACCTCCTGACCCCCGTTTGCGGCTCTTACAACGTCTGGGAAGGTGTCTCCTGGGGTTCTACTATCTGGGGTTCTACTATCTGGGGTTCTACTATCTGGGGTTCTACTATCTGGGGTTCTACTATCTGGGGCATTAGCTTCACCCAAATATCGTTCTATTTCCTCATCTCCTCATCTCCTCATCTCCTCATCTCCTCATCTCCTCATCTCCTCATCTCCTCACCTCCTCACCTCCTCACCTCCCCACCTCCTCATCTCCTCTTCTCCTCATCTCCCCACCTCCTCATCACCTCATCTCCTCACCTCCTCACCTCCTCACTGCCCCATCTCATCACTTCTTACCCTCTTTCTTAACGCCTGGGCAGGTGGGCGAATGGGATTCTACTATCTTGACCCGGAGATCATCCCTCCACTGCCTGGTAAGTTGGTAACCAGGTTATCAATTTCTTAGGTACTCACACGAACCAGGTACGTCTTGGCAGGTGGGCATATGTGCAGGTGGGCATATGTGCAGGTGGGCATATGTGCAGGTGGGCATATGGGCAGGTGGGCATTTGTGCAGGAGGGCATTTGTGCAGGTGGGCAAATGGGATTCTACTATCTTGACCCGGAGATCATCCCTCCACTGCCTGGTAAGTTGGTAACCAGGTTATCAATTTCTTAGGTACTCACACGAACCAGGTACGTCTTGGCAGGTGGGCATATGTGCAGGTGGGCATATGTGCAGGTGGGCATATGTGCAGGTGGGCATATGTGCAGGTGGGCATATGTGCAGGTGGGCATATGTGCAGGTGGGCATATGGGCAGGTGGGCATATGGGCAGGTGGGCATATGGGCAGGTGGGCATATGTGCAGGAGGGCATTTGTGCAGGTGGGCAAATGGGATTCTACTATCTTGACCCGGAGATCATCCTCCACTGCCTGGTAAGTTACGACCTTGTTAGGTACTCAATCTTCCTCTGGGCAGCTGGGTGCATGGGCTGGGCAGCTGGGTGCATGGGCTGGGCAGCTGGGTGCATGGGCTGGGCAGCTGGGTGCATGGGCTGGGCAGCTGGGTGCATGGGCTGGGCAGCTGGGTGCATGGGCTGGGCAGCTGGGTGCATGGGCTGGGCAGCTGGGTGCATGGGCTGGGCAGCTGGGTGCATGGGCTGGGCAGCTGGGTGCATGGGCTGGGCAGCTGGAGTCGTTTTTGAGGCGCCTCAAAAACGACCTCGGTGAATGGGCTGCGCAGCTGGGTGCATGGGCTGGGCAGGTGGCCGACTGAGATTCCACTATCTCGACCCAGAGATCATCCCTCCACTAGCAATCATAAGGTGGAGCTGCTTACACTCTTACATACTTACCCAAAGTAGCATTTGAATCAGATGCCATCATGCCATATTTTGAGTCGACTCAAAAGTCACCTAAGTAGCATTTGACTCAGATGCCATCATGCCATCCCATCTCTGGTATCATCCGTCCCATCCCATACGGATGGATCACCTGTACCATCCCATGGATCACCTGTCCCATCCCATGGATCACCTGTCCCATACGGATGGATCACCTGTCCCATACCTCTCCCCTGTGCTGTGCTGTCCCCCTTTCTTACAGTGGGGACCCATCGCTTTTCACCAACAGAGGGCGTGAGTAACTTATTCAAGGCTGAACGGGCTTTCAAGAGTAATCCTCTCTCTCTACTCATCAACATTCTGCCTATCTCATCGCCCCTTTGCCGCATCCTTACAGTGGGGACCCATCGCTTTTCACCAAGGCAGGGTGGGGACGACTCTCTCACTCGCCTCTCCTCTGATCAAACCTTCGAACCACCACAAGAGGTAACCTTGCTTGCACAGGGGTGATAGAGGGCGGATAGTGAAGGGGCAGATAGTGAAGGGGCGGATAGTGAAGGGGCGGATAATGAAGGGGCGGATAATGAAGGGGCGGATAATGAAGGGGCGGATAATGAAGGGGCGGATAATGAAGGGGCGGATAATGGAGGGGCGGATAATGAAGGGGCAGATAGCGATAGAATCACTGTATGTTTGTTCCGTTGCTCTTGGTTCTCCGTTTTCTTGATTCCTGTTCCTTCGAGGGTTTTTTGAGAATTCTCAAAAAACACTCGCTGCAGTATGTTTGTTCCGTTGCTCTTGGTTCCTGTTCCGCTGAAGGTTCTCCGTTTTCTTGATTCCTGTTCCTTCGGCGGCCCCCATCAATTGTCGTTCATTTGTTATTCTTCACTCTTTGTTTCACAGATCAGGGCATTGGTGGAAAGGCATCTGGTGTCAATGCGAGGGCATGCGGAGTGAATCAGGCTGCAAAGCCTCTTACCTCCCTTCCTACCTCCCCTTCCCCCACCACTTCCATGATCCCCGCCCCCCCCCCACAGATCAGGGCATTGGTGGAAAGGCATCTGGTGTCAATGCGAGGGCATGCAGAGAGAATTGGACTCCAAAACCACTTGGTTCTCGTGCTCCTTTCATCCCTCTCCCCCCACTTCCATGATTCTCACTATGCCTTACAGATCAGGGCATTGGTGGAAGGGCAGTTGGTGTCAATGAGAGGGCATGCGGAGAGAATCGGGTTGCAAAGTCCACCTGCCCGGATCATTGCCACGGGTGGCGGCTCAGCCAATGAGGCAATTTTGCGCACCATGGCAAATGTTTTTGGCTGCCCAGTGTATACCTCCGCAACCACAGGTGATTCATACAAGCTGCGAATGTTGCCCCCAGACACCTGTTCGCATCATCTGTCCCTTTTTCTGTAATCATAGCATCTCAAAAACCTCCTCGTTTTACATGTGTGTCATTTGGGTTAATGATTAACATCACCTCCTCTCTTACACCTTCCTCCCATTTCCTCCCATTTCCTCCTATCACCATTCTCTGCCTCGTTGGGAGAAGGCAACACACACGAATACTTCTGCCAAACCCGCGCCTCCTTTCTCTCTCTCGTCTCTCTTCGCTCACTTCTCTCCTCCTTCCTTCCTTCCCTCCCATCTCCCATCTCCCATCTCCCATCTCCCATCTCCCGTCTCCCCCTATCTTCTCCAAACTCCTCCAATCTCCTCCCCACTCCAGACTCTGCCTCGTTGGGAGCAGCACTGAGAGAAGCACATGGCACGGCTACCTCCGCCTTCCAATGCCATCCTCCTCTCACTCTTTTCCTCACATCTCCCCATCCCATCTCCTCCCATCTCCTCCCATTTCCTCCCATCTCCTCCCATCTCCTCCCATTCCCTCCCATCTCCAGACTCCGCTTCACTGGGAGCAGCGCTGAGAGCAGCACGCACACGGCTACCTCTGCCACACCCAAGGCTCCTTCCTCTCTCCCCCTCTCGTTTCTCATTCCTCTCCTTGCTTCCAACCATCCCATCCCACCCCATCTCCTCTCCCTCCTCTTCAGACTCAGCCTCGCTGGGAGCAGCGCTGAGAGCAGCACACGGCTACCTCTGCCTTCCCACGCCACCCTCTCATCGCTCTTTTCCCCCACATGCCCCTTAACCTGCCTCCCACCCTTTTTCCTCCCTCCCATCTCCAGACTCTGCCTCGTTGGGAGCAGCGCTGAGAGCAGCACACGGCTATCTCTGCCACACCCAAGGCTCCTTTCTCCCCTTCACCTCCCTCCTGGCTCAAGCCGGTGCCAGCTCAGCAAGTGCCACCTCAGCAAGCGCCACCTCTGCAGGTGCCAGCTCAGCAAGTGCCTCTGCAGAAGGTGCCACATCAGCAGCAGCCCCTAGCGCTGTGTCTCTTTCCGAAGCAATCCCTGCCGGATCCCCGGACCTGCACGCAAGGTACGGGGATATGGTGGCTCGGAGAATGGCTGTTGAGAAACAGCTACTGGAAGAAGCTACGGGGTAAGTACCCTAGGTACGCACCTTTTGGCGCATGCCAGAGGTAAGATTTCCCAGCATTTTTATAATCGAAACAGCTACTCAGAGTAGCTACAGGGTGAACTTGATTGGGCACCTTATGAATAGTAGCTGCTCTGTAAGAAGCTACAGGGTAAACCTCTATATACCCTTCAATCGTTAAAGCAGTTTTGGGGGAAGCACTCAACGGGTAGAGAGGTACAGTAGTCTCTCATTGAGTTCGTGTTTGAAGATTCAGATGCCGCTAACATGAAATGCATGAGATGGTATGGCCGTGGGCATCTTTTGTACTGGTGATGGTTTTCTGTGAAGTGCACATAACGCTCAAAATTTCAGACTGGCCTGTTGCGCAGCCTGCTTACAAAACAATGAACCAATCCCCAAAACGTCCAACAAAATGAAAACAGACAGACCGTAATGGCCTATGCAACCGCAAACATTGCCTCTCTTGCAGCAACACGGCATTGCTCAATGTTCAGTCCCTGCTGGAGTGTGCCCAACCTACCTCAGTCTTTGTCAGCTGACTTCCAGTGCCCTCTGCACTGCTGAAAGGGTGTGTTGCAGCAGCACAGCGATGGTCCTGGGTCCCACTCCCCCCGGCACGGGTGTGATCCACCCAGCCACCAACCTTGTCTGACTCAAGCCTCAATGCCTTCGATTCTAGCTAAATCCGACCAAAGAACTAGCCCCCAGTGCCCTCTCTGCGGCTGTAAGGGTGTGCTGCAACAGCAAAGCGATGGTCATGGGTCCTACTCCTCCCGGCACGGGTGTGATCCACCCGGCCACCTCCCTGGCCCCCTCATAGTCCACATCTCCCACCAGCCGGTACCCCGCCTTCCATCCAAACAAGTTCCCTGTTTCAACTGACTTTCAAGTACAGCCCTATGAATTAGCCCCCAGTGCCCTCTGTGCGGCTGTAAGAGTGTGCTGCAGCAGCACAGCGATGGTCATGGGTCCCACTCCCCCCGGCACGGGTGTGATCCACCCGGCCACCTCCCTGGCCCCCTCATAGTCCACATCCCCCACCAGCCGGTACCCCGCCTTCTTGCTCACGTCATCGACTGCATTGATCCCCACGTCGATCACTGCACACCCCGGTTTCAGCCAGTCGGCTTTCACCTGGTGGAGAATAGAGAGGGTAGGAGAGGCAATGGAGAAGGAACGAGCGGGAGGAGGTGAAGGAGAGTTGAAGGAGAGGGGACGGAGGGGAGCAGGGAGGAGGGCGGTTGAGTGGGAAGAAAGGGAACAAGGCAGATGAGCCTCCCTGGCTTGCTCATAGTCCACATTCCCCACCAGCCGGTACCCCGCCTTATTGCTTGCATCGTCCACTGCATTGATCCCCACGTCGATCACTGCACACCCCGGTTTCAGCCAGTCGGCTTTGACCTGTTTAGGGGGAGGAAATGGAAGGAGAGGGGGGGAAGGGAGGCCGGCGGTTGAGTGGGAACCTCCCTGGCCTCCTCATAGTCCACATCCCCCACCAGCCGGTACCCCGCCTACTGCCTACTGCCAATTCACTAGGCGGTTGAGTGTGGTTGAGTGCGGTTGATCGGCCACCTCCCTGGCCTCCTCATAGTCCACATCCCCCACCAGGCGGTACCCCGCCTTCTTGCTCACGTCGTCGACTGCATTGATCCCCTCGTCAATCACTGCACACCCCGCCTTCAACCAGTCTCCCTTCACCTGTTTATACGGGGAAGGCAGGGGAGGAAAATAGAGGGTGAGGGTGGAGCGTTTATCCTCACATCAATCACCGGACACCCCAGCTTCAATCAGTCAGTCTTCACCTGGAGGGAAGGAGAAGGAACGAATATTGAGAGATGAGGAGGGAGGAAAGGATGGGAAGTAATAACAGCAATAACAGCAATAACAATATCCGCCTGCTTCACAATCTCCTTGGGCTTTTTTGTCCTCGAGTGCACTATGGCAACTATTCTGCTCATTACGAGTTACCGCACTCCAACGCACTCCACTGCACCTCACCGCACTGCACTCACCATCTGGGCCCTCCCAATAGCAGCAATAACAATATCCGCCTGCTTCACGATCTCCTTGGGCTCCTTGGTCCGCGAGTGCACTATGGTAACCGTCGCGTCCCTCTCCACCAATAGCATCGCAGCAGGCATGCCCACGATGTTGCTGCGGCCAATCACCACCGCCCGCTGCCCGCTGATCTGCACGCCACTGCGCTCCAATAGAACCATGCAGCCCTGGGGAGGGAAGACGATAAAGAAAAGGGGAAGGAGAGGGAGGGAAGGAGGGTGGAGAAGGAGGGAGGGAAGGAGCAGGGAGAAGGAGAGGGCGGAGGGAGGGGGGGAAGGAGAGGGGAAACGGCAGGGTGGTGAAGCTGGTACGATGCAGCAAAGGTAGCATGATGGTGACCGTGGCAGCAGCATCGCCACGGGCATGCCCACGATGTTGCTGCGCCCAATTACCACCGCCCGCTGCCCACTGATCTGCACGCCACTGCACTCCAATAGAACCATGCAGCCCTGCAAAATAAAAGGGGTTGGAGGTTTTAGGATGATGTGACAGGGAGAGGAGGGATAGAAGGTTCCAATCACCACCACCCGCTGCCCGCTGATCGGCACGCCACTGCGCTCCAGTAGCACGATGCAGCCCTGCAGAAGGGCGGGTGGCACCAGAGGACGTTGATGCATGGGAGTTGAATATGGAGAAGTGGGAGGGAGGGCGTTCTGAGGTGATGCACTTATGAGGCGTCTCACAATCTGCCCACTGATCTGCACGCCGCTGTGCTCCAATAGAACCATGCAGCCCTGCAAAGAGAGGGGGGAAGGAGGAAAGGTGGGGGAGGAGGGAGGAGGCCGAGGGAGCAATAGTTGAGATGATGGCAGGGGAGAGGATGCAGGGAGGAAGAATCCAACCTCATAGAATCGCGAAAACCAAGTGCGTGTTTCCATGTGTAATGAGGTTATTTTTGAGACGTCTAAAAAAAAACCACCTCGGAAGTGCACGGGGTGGACTGTGGGCGGCGCCCCTTCATCAATGCTCTTCCACTCACCCCCTCCCCTCGCCCTCTCTTCATTCCCTGCACCCCACATCCCATTGCCTCAAACCCCCGCCAATACCCAGACCCCTACCCACCTCGGGAGTGCATGGAGCGAACTGCGGGTGGCGCCCCTTCATCGCCAGCTGGCCGATGTTGATTGGATGGAAGCCGTCCACGTCCTTGGGCAGCGCCACTTCAGCAAGCACCGCCTCCTCGCTGATGTGTGCCGGCAGGGGGAGCTGAACCAGAATGCCTGGTGATGCATGTGAGGGGCGAGGCACGGGATGGGATGGGCGAGGCACGGCATGGGAGGGGGATAGGAAGAAGAGAAGACGAATGGATTAAAGGAGCGGATGCTTGGCTTGAACTGGGGAGAAGGTGGGGGTACTCGATCCATCCACGTTCGCATCTCAGTGTGCACACGTCAGCACTCATCATGCATACCTCAGCACTCAACATGCACACGCCAGTACCTCATGTTGTACACGTCAGCACCTCATCATGCACACGTCAGCGCCTCACCACACACGTGTCAGCACCTCACCATGAACGTCAGGGTTGGCGTTGAACTCTCTGACAGCAGCAATGACGTCATCCTGGCTGGCATCGCCAGGAAGCTTCCCCTCGAACGACGCGATCCCCACCTCCTGGCACGCCTTCACCTTCATCCGCACGTACGTCTGCGAGTCCTTGCGCTCCCCCACTATAATCACAGCCAACCCTGGGACCTGTTTGGCGGGGATTGGGTAGGAACACGAACTTGTACTCAGTTATAGGACGATCCTCACCTCCCGGCACGCCTTCGCCTTCATGCGCACGTTTGCGCTCCCCACTATAATCACAGCTAGCGCCTTGGGACCTGCATTGGCGGCAGGAAACGTGCAGGAAGGCGAATTCGTGCTCAGTTATACGGGGATATCCATGGCCAGGTACGGCTTCACCTTCGCGTACGTCTGCGAGTCCTTGTGCTCCCCCACTATAATCACAGCCAGCCCTGGGACCTGCGGCAGGGATGGGGTGACGGCAGGAAGTGATCTGGGTAAAAGGCGATTTCTATTTTCCTGGCGCGCCTTTCTTTTCACCTCAACTCGCGACTCAAGCTACAGTAGGTAAAGGTCACGACAGGTAGAATGGGGGGGATGTCGAACGGAGGGTAGGTAGAACGTACCCGTGCAAACCTTTGCCCGCGAATGCGCCTCAGCACAGCCATGATGTGAGCTGTTTTGTAGCAGAATCGCACCCCTCAGAGTTTGCTGCAGATTCGCTAGAGTCGTGAAACTAAGTCCTCACCTTCCCAGTGGCTTCCTTTAGTTTGGCCACCCCCTCAGCCACCTCGCCATGGATCTGCTTCGCGATGGCCTTGCCGTCGATGATCTTCGCCACGGACTTGCCTTCGTCCGCCATTCTTGATATGTATAACGTACTGAGCTCCGCTAGTCAGAGGCAATAATCAAAGAGCTACGAAAATGACGACGAGAAAAAACCTCAGAAAGCCGCAACGAGAGATATGAAGAAGGCGAGCAATGTCTAAGATCAGGATTCAGAAATGTGAGGACCTGGCGTAGATCCCAAGAAAAGCATTGAGTGCTAGCAGGCACAAGCGGAAGCACACAAGAAAGGTGTTGGCGTTTTCCCTTGGTGTTGGTTTTGTCTCTCTGCGTTGCTGTTCCTCTACATTGCTGTTTCCCTGTTTCCGGTTGGCTGGTACTCTTGGGGTTGTCGGATTTTTCGAATCTCGATGTGGCTTTTGGATTCTGGTGTCAGAAAATTGGCGGGAAACAAATCAAGCTGCAAGAGGAGTGGTGGATGTGAGCTGGAGTTGCGTGAGGTGGGCGTTTGAGAGGTTTGCCCCCCGACCGAAGTTCGTTCAATTGGGTGCCAATGGGACCAACAACACCGATATCTAGTGCTGAATTTTGGGTCGGATTGTCCCATTGGCAAATATGTTCAGACTGTGTATGCAATCTTGGGGGTCGGTTCACTCGACATGACACGATTCGTTCAGCACAGCCACATCTCTGCCTCCACCTCATGGGGAGCTTGAGCCTCACGAAACGAAAACTCGAAGGGGTTACGTCGAATGACGAAAGCATGCGAGAAGATCAATCGTCGCGGCGAACGGACACCTCCGCTGGAGCAGGTCAACCAGAAGACCAATCGTCGATTGTTGTTTCAAGATGCGAAACGGTAGCCCAGCAAAACCTCGAAATCCGAAAAAAAATGTTTGAAAGGTCGGGTGAAACCAAGGCCGAACGCATGAACCGCCCTGGGAGCTCCAGTTCACTGCACCACAAATAGACTGGAAGTTACGTACTCTAAGAGCTTGAAGCCCCGTATTTAGGAGCCAGTAATGTAGACTGAAGTTACATTGGGAGATACTGGCTCTCCCTTTCCCCTTCTTCCGTCGCTCAAGATTCTCGTTTCCTGCGCTTTTTGAAGTGCTCCCAGCCCAATCTACTGGTTCCGCTCTCTGCTATAGGAATTCGCCGTTGTCCACAAAACCTGGCGATCTCGCAGAACGCGAAAAACCCTAGATCCTTGCGCCAGCAGCAAGGCCCAAGAAGTCATTTGTCGCCGTTCATCTCGTTTCGGATCGTGCTGTAACGACGAACCTGCTGAGATTTGGACAGCGAATTCGTGTGCTGAAGTGACATTAAACGGCGAAATGGCGTCTGCCGGGCCGGTCAAAGGCACGAATCGAGGTTACGCGACGAGGTCGTACTTCACGTCGCGGGGTGGCGACGCCCATGGGTCCGCTTTCAGGTCTGTCCGCACGCCCAGGCTTGTTCCATTACGCGCAATTACATTTATCTAGATTCCTTTACCCTTTCTTTTCTGACATGTGTAATCCCTTGCCATCCGATGCGTGCAGGTCTGCGGTGCTCTCAGGTCGCTTCCATTCCAACCAATTTCCAACCACCACCACCAGCATCAGCATCAGCATCAGCAGCATCAGCATCAGCAGCATCAGCAGCATCAGAAGCATCAGCAACAACAATCCTCTCTCCATTCTTCCCAAGGCAGTTCTTCCCCTCGTCGCTCGCCCCACCTCTCTCTCCTCCCACGCACCCTCCTCACCCCTCCTCTCACGCTTCCTCCCCGTCGCGCACTGCCGAGCCGAAACAGCCTCGGACCAGACCTTCCAGCCATGGAGTCACCAAGCCTCGCGCACAGGCTCGGGAACAGGTCCTCGAAAGGAGCAGAGCAACGGGAAGGGAAGCAAAGCTTCCGGAACAGCATCAGCAGCTTCTGATGATGAAGATGCTCGCGCTCGTGCTGACATCAGCAAAACGGCTAACATCATCACGGAACGAGTGGACGGGAAGCTCTACACGGTGAAGCTGAGATCTCTCTACTCCGCCTTCTGTCCACGTGGCATGCTGATAATGGCTGTGAGAAACAGCCTTATCCAGATCCTCCCTCTGTTTGCAGACTATATAGAGGCTCAGGCTCCCAGTCTGGAAGAGGAGGAGGAGGAGGACGAGGAAGAAGAGGAGGCGAGGAGGGAGAGGGAGAGGAGGAGAGCGGCGGAAGCAGCGGAGAGGGAGAGGAAGATTGCAGCTTTTCGGAATATGGGTGCAGGGAGGATTGCTGCTGGCACAGCGTGGTTGTCGCTCAGAGAGGTGAGTGGGACTGACGCATGTGGGAGGCAAGGAGGGAGAGGGAGAGGCAGATTGCAGCGTTTCTGAATATGGGAGCAGGCAGGATTGCTGCCGGGACGGCGTGGTTGTCGCTGTCGGAAACCAGTGTTCCTCCTCCTGCTTCCTTCCCTCATGTCTCTGCTCTCTTCTCTTCTTACCTTCATTCATGCCCCTTTCCTGTTCTTAATCCCTCCCCTTGTCCTCAGCCAGTACCATGAGAGTTTCCGGCTCCCACTCTATGGCTGCCCACAGTGGCTTAGCTACCTAGCTGGACTTAGCTTTAAAACGGCAACTTAGATCCACTATACAAGGCAAACAAACGAGAGAACGGATTTGTCTGTGCTAGGCTAGGCTACTTATTGTCCTTCCCAAGTCGTGATTTGCTCGACAGACTGGGTTAGGTTCGAGTCGCCGAGGCCTTGGATTGGCCAATGCCGATTTCCTGTCCCTCGAGGCTCCCTGAGCTCCTCTTACTGCACTTCGCAATTCCCACTGCTACCAACTTCGCGTTACTCCCCTGGACCCTAACAACCCCCTGGCAATGTTACATAACCCACTTGTACACCACTCTACACCATACTAGCGTACGTAACTGAATATATTGTTCTTACCAATAGATTCTGTGACATCGCTCAGAGAGGTGGTTGGGGTAGGATTGGTCCATCTGTGAGGTGAGTATGTTTCGGCAAAATTCGAGGCGCTTAGAAGAGCATGGGGTGCTGGGCGGATTGCTGCCGGGTCGGCATGTCTGTCGCTTAGGGAGGTGAGTGGGGTTGGTGCATTTGGGTGGAGTGTGAGACGTATCAAGAACAAGATTGCAGCGTTGCGGAATATGGGTGCTGGGTGGATTGCTGCATGCACAATGCAGCTGTCGCTGAGAGAGGTGAGTGGGACTGGTGCGCTTGGGAGGTTAGTTGGCTCGGTGCATTCGGGTGGGTCCACATGGGTGGGTCCACAGGGGTGGGTCCACAGGGGTGGGTCCACATGGGTGGGTCCACAGGGGTGGGTCCACATGGGTGGGTCCACGTGGGTGGGTCCACGTGGGTGGGTCCACATGGGTGGGTCCACATGGGTAGGTCCACAGGGGTGGGTCCACATGGGTGAGTCCACATGGGCGGGTCCACATGGGTGGGTCCACATGGGTTGGTCCACTGGGGTGGGTCCACATGGGTGGGTCCACATGGGTGGGTCCACATGGGTGGGTCCACATGGGTGGGTCCACATGGGCGGGTCCACATGGGTGGGTCCACATGGGTGGGTCCACATGGGCGGGTCCACATGGGTGGGTTTTGTCAATTGCAGCTCTTGGCACCATGGCTGTGATCTCAGTGCGCAGGGCCCTTTTGAGTCGACTCAAAAGAGGTGACTTCTGAATCGACTCAAAAGAGGTGACTTTCAAAAGAGGTGACTTTTGAGTCGACTCAAAAGAGGTTACTTTTGAATCGACTCAAAAGAGGTGACTTCTGAATCGACTCAAAAGAGGTGACTTTCAAAAGAGGTGACTTTTGAGTCGACTCAAAAGAGGTTACTTTTGAATCGACTCAAAAGAGGTGACTTCTGAATCGACTCAAAAGAGGTGACTTTCAAAAGAGGTGACTTTTGAGTCGACTCAAAAGAGGTGACTTTTGAATCGACTCAAACTTCAGCTCTGGGCGGCTTGGCTGTGATCTCAGTACGCAGGGCCCTTTGGGAGCTCTTCCACATTGGAGCACTTCCACATTGGAGCACTTCCACATTGGAGCACTTCCACATTGGAGCACTTCCACATTGGAGCACTTCCACATTGGAGCACTTCCACATTGGAGCACTTCCACATTGGAGCACTTCCACATTGGAGCACTTCCACATTGGAGCACTTCCACATTGGAGCACTTCCACATTGGAGCACTTCCACATTGGAGCACTTCCACATTGGAGCACTTCCACATTGGAGCACTTCCACATTGGAGCACTTCCACATTGGAGCACTTCCACATTGGAGCACTTCCACATTGGAGCACTTCCACATTGGAGCACTTCCACATTGGAGCACTTCCACATTGGAGCACTTCCACATTGGAGCACTTCCACATTGGAGCACTTCCACATTGGAGCACTTCCACATTGGAGCACTTCCACATTGGAGCAATTCCACATTGGAGCACTTCCACATTGGAGCACTTCCACATTGGAGCACTTCCACATTGGAGCACTTCCACATTGGAGCACTTCAGTGATCAGGGCACTCTCTCCTCCATGCAGATGCCTGTGATCTCATTGCGCAGGGCCTTGTGGGAGCACTTCCACATGCCTTCTCCCCAACTCCCCCATCCCCACCTTCCCCACTTTCTCTTCTCCCCCCCCCTTCCCCCATCTACTTCTTCAAATAACTGTGATCTCTGTCCCAATGCCCCCTACCCCCTTCACGCTCTCGCCTTCCTCGCCCCCCCCCACCCCTCTCCCGCATCAGATGGTCATGGTGATATCAGTGCGCAGGGCGCTGGAGCACTTCCGCATTGGAAGATCCCAATGCCCGCTACCCCCTTCCCGCTCCCTCCTTCCCCACTCCCCCCCCTCTCTCCCGCCCCACCCCTCTCCCGCATCAGATGGTCATGGTATCAGTGCGCAGGGCGCTGGAGCACTCCCACATTGCCAAACAGAAATTTCCTGTCTTGACCCTGCTCGCTCCCCCCCTCTCTCCCCCCCTCTCTCCCCCCCTCTCTCCTGCATCAGATGGCGGTGATATCAGTGCGCAGGGCGCTGGAGCACTTCCACATCCCCCTTCCACTTATTCCCCCCCCCGTCCCCCCCTCCCACTCCCCTTCCCCTTCCCCCCGTGCCCCCCACTCCTCCCCGCCCCATCAGATGGCGGTGATATCAGTGCACAGGGCGCTGGAGCACTTTTATGTTGTCAACAACAATCACCTGTCTCGCTCCCCCTCTCCGCTTCCCCTTCTTCCTTTCTTTCCCCCCTTCCCCCTCTTCCCCTTCTCCCCCTCCATTCAGATGGCGGTGATCTCAGTGCGCAGGGCGCTGGAGCACTTTTATCTTGTCAATAAGAATTTCCCATCTTATCCCACCTTTCCCCTCCCCACCCCTTCTCTCCCCATCTCCCCCATTCAGATGGCCGTGATATCAGTGCGCAGGGCGCTGGAGCACTTTTATCTTGCTCGAACCGTGTCTGCCCGCTGGCTGTGGAAGCTGACCAAGGGTGAGTGAGATGGTCGTGTGTGAGAGGAATGAACGGGGCGAGTATGCACAGGGAAAGGGAATGCAGGAAGAGGGACGCACTCCTGTGTGGCTCGAATCTTGTCTGCCCGCTGGCTGTGGAAGCTGACCAAGGGTGAGTGAGCTGATCGTGTGGAGAGGAATGAACGCGGCGAGGGAATGCAGAAAGAGGGAGCACTTCTATCTGGCTCGCACCGTGTCTGCCCGCTGGCTGTGGAAGCTGACCAAGGGTGAGATGGTCGTGAGGGAATGCAAAGCACTTGTATGTGGGCTGAGGGAATGCAGGGGAGTGGTCAGCATTTGTATGTGGCTCGAACTATGTCTGCCCGGCCCGGTGGTTATGTAAGCTGACCAAGGTTGAGTGGGCTGAGGGACAGGAGAGGAGGGAGGTAGGTAAGGGAAGCAATTTTATTTTATGTGGCTCGTTCCGTATCCGGCCATTGGCTGCTGTAATCAACCAAGGGTGAGATGATCATGTGGGAAAGAAGGGAGGGAGAGGAGAGAAGGGAGGTAGGTAAGGGAAGCACTTCTATGTGGCTCGTTCCGTATCTGGCCATTGGCTGCTGAAACGAACGACGGGTGAGATAGATCGTTAGGGAAAGCAGTGAGCGTGAGTGTGTGAGAGAGGAAAAGTGTTTGGTAGTGTTTCCAGCTCCACTCCTCGCTTCTCAATCTTTCCTCCCCACTTGGTCATGCGCAAGGTCAGCAGGGGAGCACTCACAAGCAGTTGTTTGCGGCGTTTCAAAACGGCGTTTCAAAAACCACTGCCTTCCCCTTCCATGCACCCTTCCATGCACCCTTCCATGCACCCTTCCATGCACCCTTCCCATTAACCACCCTAAACCCTACACCCAACAATTTGGCCCATTGGAAGCATCTCAATTTAGCAGGGGAGGCTCACAAGCAGTTTCTGAAGCATCTCAAAAGTCTCTTTTGAGTTGACTTCCTCTTGAAACGTCTCGGTTTTGAGAGTTCTCAAAAGTGAGTTGACTTAAAGGTCCTCTTGAAACGTCTCACAAGTCACTTCTCCCCATTTCTTCTCCGCCTTCTCTCCCTCCCAACGCCCCTCTCCAGACCCCACCCAGTCAGCCATTCGCGAAGTCAGCAGCGGATGACTCACAAGCAGTGTACGAGGCGTCTCAAACCACTTCCTCCTTTTTCCGCCTTCTCTCCCTCCCAACGCCCCTCTCCAGACCCCACCCAATCAGCCATCGCAGAGTCAGCAGCGGATGACTCACAAGCAGTGCACAAGGCGTCTCAAACCACTTCCTCCTTTTTCCGCCTTCTCTCCCTTCCAACGCCCCTCACCAGATCCCACCCAGTCAGCCATTCGCAAGGTCAGCAGCAGGGGACTCACAGGCAGTTGTTAAGGTGCCCTCCCTTCTTCCCTTTGCTCTTCCGTTCGCTATCTTCCCTCCCTCCATATGCCCCACACCAGATCCCACCCAGTCAGCCATTCGCAAGGTGGGCAGGGGTCTCACAGGCTCCCCTCTAATCAAATCCGTTACAATCACCAACGTCAGAGGTATAAGCGTCTGCCTCTCTTAATCCCTTTCCTCTCTCTCTCCTGTCTTCTCTAACTTTCCTTTCATGCATTCTGTTCTTCCCCCTTTCAATGGGCGCCTAGAGATAGCTGCTTTTCCTGCGCACACTTTCAATGATGCGCTTATTATCTATTGTTACTAATGAATGTTGCCTTACTTGCAACTTCATTGTCTGCAGCGACTTTTGAGGCACCTCAAAAGTCTGCTTTTCCTAACAGATGCACCAAATCTCTTTTGTACCCAATCAATGTTGCTTTCCATTGCATTGCAGCTTCATGATCTATGGCGCCTAAACAGTGCTGCCCTTCTTGCACTTTGAGGCGCCTCAAAATGCGCCTCAAAAGGCGCCTCAAAATGCACTTCATATGGCGCCTAAACAGTGCTGCCCTTCTTGCATCGCCATTTTTTGCGACACCCAGTAACTACTGCCTCCCTTGCTTCCTCACCGCACCTCCCAAATTTCTAGACTCGTCACCTCACCTTCCTCCCTTGCTCAATCAGCCCAGGTCCCGACCCTACTAATACTATATCAGTGCAACTTAAAATGTTGTGCTTCGCTTTTGAGAGGTCTCAGAAGCGACCCTACTGATTCTACATCAGTGCAACTTATTACGTTGTGCTCCGTTCCCCCTCGCCCGCTCCTCCCCTCCCACTTCCTCTCCATTCTTCCCCCCCACACCAGCACACTTCCTGAGCCCACTATCCAGTGTAGCAGTGCAGCTTATAACGGATACCTTCACCGCCTTCCACCGCCTACTCTTCCCACCACCACCACCACAAGCGGGTCAGGGGCTCGCTATAAGCCCTGTGAGGGCCACAGGAGTGCAGATCGTGTGGCTAGTAAAGCGAACGCTGAGCTATTCTCTCAAGCTCGTGTTCTCTACCGCCTCTGGAGCGCTGCTGTCGGCCGTGTGTGTGCGATACGTGGGGCCGTGGACCACAAGCTATGGTAAGCTCTATCCTGGTTCCTTGGTGTTACAGCAGAGATGCATGGGCGTGTGACCAGTAATGAGAACGCTCACCTACTCGCTCAAGCTCGTGTTCGCTACTGCCTCTGGAGCGCTGCTATCAGCCGTGTGTGTGCGCTGTGTGGGACCTAGGACCACAAGCTATGGTAAGCTTTATTTGCTTCCTTCTGGTTATGCAACGATGCATGGGTTTGTGGCTGACAAAGAGAATGCTGGGCTACTCCCCTCACGCTCGTGCTCTCTACTGTGTCTGGAGCGCTGCTATCGGCGGTGTGTGTGTGTGCTATTGGCTGATAAAGAGAACGCTGGGCTACTCGCTCGAGCTCGTGTTTGCTACTGTGTCAGGAGCGCTGCTATCGGCTGTGTGCCCACCTTCTGCTTTCCTGTTCTTAACACGCTTCAATACCCCCCCCCTCCCCCCTCCCCCCCTCCTCCCCCCCCCCCCGCACCCCCCACCCTACATCCTGAGTGACATGATTGTTTGCATCGGCCCTCACCTCTTTAGTTCTTGAAGCGCTTCAAATATCACTCTGCCCCGCCCCACCCCACCCCACCCCACTGCACTGCACTCCACCTTTTCTTGCCCCCTCCCCCCAGCCTAAATCCTAGGAGACATGTTTGTCTACCAGACTGCCTCGACTCTCATCGACCCTCTCCTCTTACGTTCTTGAGACGCCCCAAACTTCACCCATCTTCACCCCACTCCACCCCACCCTAAACCATCGCTCCCCCCACTCCACCGCACCCCACCCGACCCCACCCCACCCCTCCCCCCAGCCTACATCCTGGGAGACATGCTTGTCTACCAGACTGCCTCGACTCTCATCGACCCTCTGCTTTTTTCTGCCACCACTTAGAAGCCTCTGGTGGGTGCTGCTGGGGGTCCTGGTGGGGAGGAGGTCGAGGGAGGCTCTGCTGGTGAAGGCTCTACTGGGGAAGGTTTTACTGCAAGCACTACTGCTTCTGCTGGTGGTGCTGGAAATTTCACGAGGAGAGCTCTGTCGAGGTGTTAGATGGAGGACGAGGAAAAGTTGTGTTAAGAGTCTACCAGACCGCGTCAACTCTCCTTCGCCCTGTGCGCTTTGCTGCTGCCACCTCTAAGAGACCTCTGGTGGGTGCTGCAGTTGAGGGGGCTGGTGGTGGTGATGTGATGCTCTACATGATACGGTAGTATGGTACTGCTCAGCTGCTGGCGATTGTGTGTTTTTATTAATCCGTACAATATACTGGTGCGATATAATGAAAATCAAGATGGACGTTAGGAAGAGATAAAGCTACTTGTTTGGCACGTTTGTGTTCTTTGTAGAATCCTTATTTTTTGTCATTTCTTACATGCCTTACTTGTTATGTAAATGTTTTGCAATACGTATTGAGGTTGTAGAGGGTTCAGTATGCAATAACAGGGATGCCAAGGGAAAGGGGCAGGTGAGTGGATGGAATATGGGAGGCCAAAATGGATCCCAAAAAGGAAGGAAGCGCGAGCACGATGTGGAGTGCGCGCCTCGGGGAACGACAGGAAGTGAAGTGACATTGAAATCCTTCACGTGTCTTGAGCGAAGGTTCTAGATTCTGCAGCCAGGAGGAATTGGAGGTGCCCCTGCGTGGACATCTGCGACATCATGTGGACGGCTTCGGCCTGAGCTCATGTGTGCGACATGAGGTGGAGGGAGGAGGCACCTGCTTGAGAACCTGGTGCTATAGACTGCATGTCATTCATTCACTACACTGTTGTTCACGTGTTCTAGGGTTTCATGCTATTTCGTTCGAGTTTTTTTACAAATACCTGTAGACTATGAGTCGTTTTGTAAAATACTCGTCCATCTCCACCACCATACCCTGCGCATGAGTGATGTGCGAGTGGAAGAGTTCGGGAATTGTGCAAATTCCTGAGTTTCCGAAGATGGGTATTATAAATTTCGTGTGCTGCTCATCTGTACCAAACCATCCTCAGTATACACTGCAAACTTCTGAATCGAAGGGGTGACTGGTATGATTTGCCAGACCTGTTTGAGTGTTGTCTGGAAGCGTATTGCAGCACAGCTCGTGCTATCCTTCTAGATCTGCTACTGTACAATGGCTGGGTTTGCTCCACCCACACACACCAAGGTTACATCGAGCCGCGATATTTTTGCGGTCAATCCAAGTTGCAGCACCGCTGTCCAGCACAGCGTGAATCCACGTCGATTCCGTGGCAGCTGGTCCATAGCATTTCGTCCAGCCAACCAAATTCTTCGCGTTGTCCAGCGTCAGCCACATTGTCCACAAGGATTCCGTGCTGTACGTGCAGGTTTGGATTGGACCAACCAGATTTTTTATTTCTAGCCAACGCGGCTGTGGCCGTCATTTCCTCGCCATCCACTTCGCCGCAAACCGCACACAAAAAAGTTCAAACTATCGACACACTGTTGCGTACCTCAAACTGTTTGCTTGTTTGAAACTCCCAAGGCACGGCGCACGCCAATTCAAGGCTCCAAACGCCTTCCACGGGGATCGGAAAATTCTGTGGTTCCTCCGGCAAACTACGTTTCGCGTTTCTGGATGGTCCCATGTGACTGAGATTATGAGGAAGCTTCAGGCAGCGTTTCGTTCACAGTCCATGTGCCATGGTTCTGACAAAAGCGGTCCGACGTGAGGTCGTGGTGCGGTGGTCATAACTCGGTCCGTTGCCGCATCAACCTGAAAGAAACCAGGAAATCAATGCGAATCGGTTTGGATCAGAACCAAAGCGACGAACCAGACAGAAATCTCTTGTTTGCAAATGCAGACCCTTCCACGTGGCACATTTGCAACGCCTCAATGAATTGAGCATCCCGCACACCAAGCCGATGGTTGCGTTGTCACGACGAACTCGCAACTTCGCCACCTTCTCCACCCTCCGCCCCTGGTCCCCCCTCACATCGCCCTCCTCCCTCTCCCACCCTGCACGATCCATATTCGGGGCAATAAATTTCTGTCGTTTTGCACCGAGACCCCCAAATCTCGGATCGCTATCTGTTGGGGCAGGATTCCGGAAATGTTTTACAGCAAATTTCGACGCCGCAGATCTAGTCTACACGTTCATCCTATGCTGCCAATGCTGTTATATTCTGCCCTGCCCATCTTGCCAACAGCGATAAGCAAATCCCAACCATCGAATCTCGATCCATCCATACGTCCACTCCACCGCACCACCACCACCCTCCTCTGCTGCAGCGTGCAGCGTAGCCTATACATCAAGCAGAAGGGGAAAAGCCGCGCAAAAATAGCGCATCGCACTCGCACGCGCGAAGCCAGACGTACCACCAATGGGAAGCGACGAACGTTCTCGCGTTTGAATAAAGCGTGATGGATGGGATGGGAGGGAGGGAGAAAACGCAAACCGGACCACAGCATAATTCAGTTCAGCAGCAGTGACTCCTCGACTTCTCTTTTCTGAGTAAAGCTGGACTGCAGCTCATTCCAGTTCACGAAACCAGCTGGAGTTTGTGTTGCAAGCCCAGCAACCTTCACAGCTATCCTTAAAACTTTCGAAGACTGTTTCTCTCTGTTACGAAATGGCTATCGAGTTTAGAAATTCCGACACTCCCTCAGAATGGAAGCGAGGTCGTTTGTTAGGATCGGGCTCCTTCGGTCGCGTGCACATGGCAGTCGACAACACGTTGGGCGATTTTTTCGCAGTGAAGTCCGCATCGTCGCAAGCGTCGCAGGCGTCGCCTCAGCAACAAGAGCGGTTGAGAAACAACAATGGCGCAGTGGAAGCCTTGGAAAACGAGATCTCCATTCTCTCCACCCTCGAGTGCGAGCAGATCGTGGGATTCCGGGGCGCGGATTGGTCGCAAGAAGGCGACGCGAAGGTCCGCAACCTGTACTTAGAGTTAGCCGCGGGCGGCTCCGTCGCGGGGCTTTTGAGATCCTCGTCGGGTTGCTGCCGCGGGCTCGATACGTTGACTCTGAAAAAGTTCACTACGGACGTCGTTAAGGGGCTCTGCTATATCCACGAGCGGAGCGTCGTTCACGGAGACATTAAGAGCCTAAATCTGCTCCTCACCAGCGACGGCCACGTCAAAATCGCCGACTTCGGCGCCGCCTTCCGTGTCAGCAGCACCTCCCCCGCCGCCGCAGCCGCCACCACCATTGCTGCGCGCGAAGTCGCGGGTTGGTCCGCCGCCGACGCTGCCGCTACCGGCGCAAGCCACGGGCTGCGCGGAACGGCGAACTGGATGGCGCCGGAGGTGGGGCGCGGGGAGCAGCAGACCCCCGCGGTCGACATCTGGTCTCTCGGGTGTACCGTCCTCGAGATGGCTACTGGCCGCCCCGCGTGGTCCGACGTGACAGGTGGCATGTTCTCCGTGCTTTACGCTGTTTCCTGCACGGATGCGATGCCGCGGATCGCGGCGGAGGTTCCGGCGGCGGTACGCGGGTTTATTGAGTGCTGCCTGCGGAGGAACCCTTCGGAGCGGTGGACTGCGGCGGAGCTGCTGGCGCATCCGTTCCTCGCGGAGGTTGCGGAGGGGGGTGAAGGAGAGGAAGTCGCGCGGAAAGCGGCGCTGGTTTGCGCAACTCCGCGTTCCCCGACCTCCCCGTTCGACTACGGCCTCGATTCCGATTCCGATTCTGATTCGATTGTACCAGCAGCAGCAGCGGGGAGCGAATCATCTAAGCGCAAGCGATCTGATGATGACGATGACGTGGCAGATCGCAAACGTCAGCGCGACGTCTCGGCAGAGCAGAAGCAGTCGTTCCAGTGGCCCAAGTCGGTGCTGTGCCCCGCCGCCGCTGATTGGATCGTCGTCCTCGCGCTGCGACCCGTCGTTGACGCCTAGAGTCTCTCGCAAACGCGTACGAATCGTCGCAGACGCTTGGAAACCCTAACATAACCATCAGCTTTCCCTTCGAGTGGAGTGTCGTCAATCTGCGAAGGGTTTAGATCGAAGGGCTTAAGCCGATATTAGAGCAAGAGGTTACCTGCGGAAGCCTATACCGGAGCGGCTTGTACAGGGACAAAGTATCAGCGCCAATGTCGCTGGAGAGGAGCTTCGTTTTGGTACCAGTAACTGGTCAGCAACCCCAAGCCTTGGGGAGGCCAGTAGAGCAGCATCCCATTTTTGACACTAATGTAATTAATTGTACAGCTATTATTAATCTTATCTAGCCAGTTACCAGTTTTCTATCCCACCTGAAGAACCTGGTCGTTATGGTTTGAAAAGCCTGTTGTCTTGGCTTGAAAAATAGCTAAGAAGTTGCTGCTTCAGCCAGTACCGTTGCTGGCTGGTGGATGTGCCTTTTCTTAGTGAGAGTGCTTCTGCATACAGTTACACAAAAAGAAAATCTTGCCTCTAAAGACTGAGCAGAAAGAGGGCCCGACCCCACCAGGCCAGGCCAAACTGCTGAAGTGGCACTAGTAAGCCACTCTTTGCTATCAAGGGACCTGCTGCTATGCTACCAAAAAGGGGAAGGCACTATGCTGCTGCTACGGTTTTGCTGATACGGTACGCACCGGTACAATACGAGTGTCAAATGTTGTAGCCTGTAGTGAGGTTTGTCTTAGGGGGTACAGAAGTTAGGGTTTGTCATATGTACCCCAACCAACATCAATGCAACACCCATTTTCCTCATTCTGACATGGTATCAGCTAGGTTAGGATCCTGTGGGATCCCGTTCCTCCGTTCTCCGTTCGTACCTCCCGAGCCTGATCCTACCTCTCGTTCGTACCAGTTTCGTAGTTACCGCGCCTAGTACCGAGCCTAGCGTCATCTCCCCCGTCGCGTCACGCCTGTTCCCCCCCGTCGCGTCACGCCCGTTCCCCCCGTCGCGTCGCGCCCGTTCCCCCCGTCGCGTCGCGCCCGTTCCCCCCGTCGCGTTGCGCCCGTTCCCCCTG